GCGGGCCAGCGCTGGGGATGGGGCGGCCCTGCGGCCGGCCAAGCGAGGTGAGGGCCGGGGCCGGGGAAGTGGGCCGGGCCAGGCCGGGCTTGTCCCGGGAGGGTGGCTGGCGCTGCGGACCCCCGTGGAGATCTCCCCTCGCTGTTTCCCTCCGCTTGCCGGGGCGCTGCCGCGGGTCAGATCAGGTCGGGCTGAGGCGGGTGCTGCCGCACGGGACATGGCCGGGCGCCGGCCGGGCTTCTGAGCCCCGCGCGCAGGGTTGGCCTGGCTTGGGCTAAAAATAAAGCACGTTTCCTGCCCGAGTACATCGGCTGGGCCCCATGACCCGTCACCCCCAGGACGAACTGACCAGGAAGTGGCAGCTCTCAGACTGACCCTCCATCCCCGACTAGGCTGTTTATCTGAGCCTTGCAGCGCAGGTGCTGGAGAGGAAGTTATTAACCAGAAGAACTTCACTTTGTCAAGCAAGGGCTTCTCCTGACTTGTCATCTCGTGATTGGCCTCGCACCTCTGGAGCGGCTACGAGAAGTTGCCGCAGACCTTCAAAGTGCAGGAGCCCTGGGGCATTCCAGATAGGGCAGTGGCAGGGGTGATAGTTCTGGCCTCGAGAGCAGCGGTTCCCAAACTGACAGATCGCACACCACCAATTTTTTTTTTTTTTTTACAACAACACAACCTTAAGTACCACCAGCACGTTGATATCATACAAAGTAATTATAATAAATCCGTTGCTGTGTACCACTGACAGGTTGTCTGCATACCCGTACCACAGACTGGGAACCGCTGCTCTAGAAGGACAGGCCTGTGTAGCAGAGAATCAATATTTCTTATAGCAGGTGTATAACTCTTTTATCTATAGATTTCATAGACATCAGGGCTGGAAGGGACCTTGCGCTATCACTGAGTCCAGCCCCCTGCCTGTGGGGCAGGAAGTCAGCAGGGGTCAGATTGCCCCAGCAACATAAGCATCCATTTTGACAGGCTTGGTTAAGGAAACTGTTTCCCAGACAAGTCACTTTAAGACTGTGTTCGTGTTCTGGTTGGCATCAGCTGATTAAGAGAAGTCTTAGAATATTTCAGTTTTTTGGAAACTACACATTGAATTTATGAAGTTTCTGGCCAGTATCCTAAAAGAACCATTACAGGTTATGAATAGGATTTTAAAAAGAAAGAAACCTTAGCTAATAAAACATTTTGAGGCGGCATTGAATGGTCACATGAGTAGTGAGAGCAGATTTTATTATTATAGTGCCAAAAACAAAATTTTGTTGGGGAGGCTCTTGGTTATTTTACTTAAACTATAAAAGCTAGCGTAGCAATACCATTTTGTTAGTTTGAGCTCCACGGGGTGGGTCTGAAGCAGCGGTTCCCAACCTTTTTATGCTGAGGACCAGAAGTGACCGTGGATCGGCAACCTGCGGACCAGCAGTGACTGGCAGACTGCAGGCAGGCATCCTGCAGTTGGCTGCCAGTCCGCAGTATGGTGGTCACTTCCAGTCCACAGTTTGCCAGTCAGTGGTCACTTCTGGTCTGGCAGCCAACCCTTCGCAGCCTGGTACTGGGACATGGCCCAGGGGTTGGGAACCCCTGGTCTAAAGAGATCAATTTGCAATATGGAAGTACTGCTTAATCAAAAGGTATATTCTATATAGTTGTGTGTGATTGTATATCATATGCCACGCAGGTATGTGGGAGGCGGTGTAATTATACACCTACATGCACAAGTGTATATAGGGGTTGGACTAGATGAGCTCTGGAGGTCCTTTCCAGCCTTACTTCTCATTGACTCTATGTAAGTGTGTATACATGTGTGTATGCACACACAATATACTTGTATATCCTATATTAAAGGTTTATAATTGGAAGTAAGGAGAAAGGTGGTCTTAGAGGTCAGGCAGAAATTTGTATGTGAGATACCAGTAGTCCAGCTGAAAGTATTACACCAAGTACTTTTTTGACATTTTCACAAACTGCAAGAGAAACATTAGATCACTTGATTCTCTTGTTCTCCATCTAATTTTGATGATGGAATAGTTGTTATTGATGCTTCATTTTAATTTGGCCTCAAACTAAGACTTGGGAATGTGTAACTTTTTGTTTCATTCTCCAGTGTGTTTTCGTTTTAATAGCAGGAGCCTAGGAATGTATTGGGGTTTTTTTTTCACATGAGGAAAAGTTGAGAGATTCTAGTAGTAAGAAGAAACCATTTTATAATAAATTAGGTGAGGCATTTATATAAAAATTATAACAACCCTAGCAGGTCTTCAGTGTTAGGTTTAGTAAAGCGATGCCAAATGCATCATTTAACAGATGTACTCTCTGTGCATCTCCATCTCTAAAGGATTGGGCTGACAACCTTTCTTGCTATGGCTGGGCTATTGCAGAGCCCTCAAGGTTTGACTGTGGTTATGAAACAAACCAGCGCCTTTACTTAAACACGTGGCTTGGCAAAGCTCTTAGGAGTTTCAGAAGCACTGGCGCTGTCTCTGTGGAGAACCAGGAAGACAACTGTGCATCCATTCTTGTTTAGAGCCACAAGGGCTAGAGACTTCCTCCCCACCTTGCATGAAAATACTTTTGTTTGTATTTATGCTGACTGCAACCCATGTTTGCCAGGAAAAGTGTCTTTCTTGCTGAGGGCATGGAGCTTTTTGTTCTGTGTGCACGCAGATGCAGCAACAGTTTGGATTACCTTGCATAAACTAGTTTCTGTTTTCATGTGTGGCTTGCTTCAGCTTTCTGTTTCCTTCTGTTTTAGTATTTTCAGTTTAGTTTAAAGTGGAGCTAATTTAACTGATTATCCAAACTACCAGCAAACAAGTCTTGCTTTGGCTGTTTTGTTAGTGTCCAAATACAAACTGTCTTGTTTAATCATTTGAATCTGTAAGGTTTTTCAGCAGTGCTCATGTTCTTATTGAACTGGGGAGAGCAATCCCAAATCTCTGATTGGCTTCTGAAATGGCAAGAAACCTTTGAGTACTGCTTGTGGTATAGCCTTTGCTAGCTCCAGACTTGGCTTTTTATATGATTGTCAAAACACTTCAAAACCATCAGGCTGGCCTCAGCTGCTGTGGGTATGCTGCTGTTGTATTCAGTGGAAATTCTTAAATGTAAACAATATACTAAGCGTGTATTGCACAGACTTCGTACCACATTAAGAAGCACTGTTGTGCAGCAAAACAATGCCTGGAGAAAGCAACTGGCATCGAGCTAATGATAAAACACCTAAACATTAGCCAGCCTTGCTTTGAACAGTCAGCTTAAAATGAGGAATACTATATTATAATTTTAGGAGTATTAAAGTGTTGATTTCATGCCAGGATAAAGATGTTATCTATTTTTATTATTTACTGTTTTATTTTGATATCTGTACCTGTTTTTTGTGATTTATTTTGAGCCACTCAGAGTCTTTTTTTGGGGGAAGGCAGCATATAAAGCCAACTAATTAATATTAATAGTGAAAATCTCCAGACTTACTTTTGGTTGAATTTGTCAATCTCTACTTCATCCAGGAGCAAACATTTTTACCCTTCTGTGTAAGAAAGAGCAGTTTTAACTTGATTATTTCACAAAATTAAAATACTTAAAAAAAATTATTTTTGGTAAATTCCATCCAAGGACGTGTCTTAAGTTTTCTGCCATCTTCAGTCTCTCTCTGATATTATCTCTACTTCAGTTATGGACAGTGGATGCACAGCAGTAACAAGAGTGTATGACAGAGTCAGAAAGCAAGCTAGATCCCTGCCCTTCTTTATTTTAGTTTGATAGTTAGTAGGGTTGGAAGGGACCTGAGCAGATCATCAAGTCGGACCCCCTGCCATGGCAGGAAAGAGTACTGGGATCAAATGACCCCAGCAAGGTGATTGTCAAGCCTTGTCTTAAAGCCCCCCAGGGTAGGAGCCAGCACCACTTTGCTTGGAAGTTGGTTCCAGATCCTAGCTGCCCTGACAGTGAAGTAGCACCTCCTGATGTCTAATCTGAATTTACCTTCTGCCAGCTTGTGACCATTATTTCTAGTCACTCCTGGTAGTGCTCGGGGAAACGGGGACTCCC